CTGGAAGGTGAAATAAAAAGACTAATGAGTTTCCAAAGCCGTTTCGATAGCTACCACTGATTGTAACACCCGAGATATTAGAGAATCTTTTCGTTTCTTCTAAAAAATTCTTCTGTTCATTTATTCCTCGTACAAAACCTGTAAAATAAACTTCAATTGACGGTACCTAATTTTAATTGTTATCGATCTGTTCGTTACCGATTTCTTTCCTGTGCAGCGCGTAACTGACAAATCAGATAGCCGCGTTCTCGCAGTCGGGACGGGGATTAATTGAGGTATCGTGGATAATTAGTTTAGGTCGAGTTTCGTATTTAACTTCGTTGATATAGGAAACGTTTGACTCGCCAACGAGGAAATAGTTAGCTCATTAAAGAAGAGAGAGGGAGAGAGAAAGAGAGTGATGCGGGGGTGGAAAGAGAGAACGAAGGTGGGAGTGAGATTGAAGCGTGCCGTTTAGTTCATTATACAGTTTCAACGAAATTTCACGGTTAAAAGAGTGCGTTTAATCTTTCAACGTATATTTCAAACTCGTTACTGCCTACCAAAGAAAATGTACCGTGGTTGTCGACAAGTTCGTGAAAATCCGACTTTCGTAGCGTAATAATTATTTTTTGCAATAATTATTTCATTCGTTTCTCTTTCTGTTCATTTTATTTGAATTTATCAAATTTATGAGCAAATCGGATTTCATAAAATAAACCGATGCAAAGCAGATGGAATGTTCGTAATAATGGTTATAATACTAATAATAACAACGATAAGGTTAGTGTCGACGATGGTAGTAACAATGAGTAATAACAGTAACGTTTCGAACGGAGGGTAAATTGTACGTAAGCACCTATAGTGCCTGTTTATCGAGTTACGGATTTATGCGTTCACAGTTATTTGCTAAAACAACGAGCCTTACTCCGAGGGGCGGAATTATTAGAACGGGGAAAGGAGCAATTGCTCGCGGAAGGGACGGCTTGTGAATGCGAGATAAATTTTAAACTTTTCATTCTGTTTTTTATCGATGAAGTTAATATTACGAAATATCACCGTCGTCGGGGGGGTAAATCGGAATCGAAGGCGAACCGAACGATGGGGTAGGGATAACGAACTTCTGCAAGATGTTACTGAATTTGCTGGTTCCGTAGCCTGGGGTGAGCGGAGAGCCGCTATACGGTGATTAAATTTCCTAGTTGCACTGCTGCGAAGGGTTATTTCGTAGGAAATTTAAACAAGGGCTTAAGGAACGGTTTCCCATTCGTTCCCTCTCGCTCTCTATTTCTCTTTCTCCTCCGTTCCTTATCCCTCATCCCCCGGTAGATCGCTGGATTCTGCGCCGCCTGCTTTTCCGGCCCTCCTAAATATCGTTTTTCCCTGTTGCGGTCTCGTTACCATGTTCCAGGAAATTCAGCCCCGGGCTACAAGACCGGGAAACGCTCGCCGCGAATTATTCATGTAGTAACATTTACGTTGCTTCAAAGTCTCGTGATTTTATAGCCGAGACTTAGCTCACCCTCCCGCATCGTTCCTCCTTTAATGTTCGCCAGTGACGTTATCTGATTCTTCGGCTAGGGTAAGAATGTTTTCTGTTTATCGCTTTTGTAGGCGGGACCCGCGAACAACCCGATTAACATTGGTTTGCGGGCACCGGGGAAACTTCTCAGGCAACGGGATGAAATTACTGTGATTAAGACAAGGAAAATTAAACTTTTCCGAGCGCCCACCATCACGCAGACCCATCCGCCCCTCTAATTTCTTGCAAATCGAAATTTATGGAGCTGAAGCTAGCGGAGGAATGCGTCGGGACGGTGAATTGAAAGCGTCCGGCATTCTTTCGCGTACCATTTTCACGCTTCTTTTCTTCTCGCGAAAGATTATTAACAGCAAACAAGAGAAACGACGCGATAACGTGTCTCTGTTAAGTGTAGTCGCGTAATTTCTCGGGAACGCGAAATATAGCTTTAATTATTCTTGTCGCTGTAATAGTTCTTAGTAAATAGTCTAAGGTAGCTTATTTTTCATCGATTCCTGGTCAAGTTCTTGGTTTTTTGAAATAACAAGAAAGAAACTTCGCAAGAACAGCATTCGTGCCATAAATGGGATGATTTTCTTATTTCTCCTGCGACATCTTTAACCCTTTCCACTCGTATGTCGCCATATAGTCGCCATCCTACATTTTATTATTATACATGTATTTTTCTAATTTTTTCTACTAAATCGGCAAGTTAAATTGTAATATGTTCCTATAAAAATGTTTTCATTTTGATCGAATATAAAAAAAAATTTCAAGTAGCCTTCTCAAATATAAATACAAGTGCAAAGGGTTAAGAGTCAGCCGTTGATTGGCACAGATAACTTCGCGAACTTCGACGACTTCCTCGGTCGCTTCTGGAAGCTGAAGACCTACCTGGTCGTTGATCATCTATGATCGAAGTTCTGTCTTCTTCAGTCTGTTTGAACCACTCAAAACACGTACTATAACTTGGTGCTTCTGGAAAGAATATTTTCAAAAGTTGAAGCACTTCTGATGTGGTCTATCCAAGTTTGAAACTGGATTTCATACAGACGCTCTACTGTTCGATCAGTTTCTTTCTATGAGACCCAAGAATAGGGAAAATTGAATTGTAACCTTTGCTATCAATCTTGAAATAGATGACACTTTGATAGGAACATAGTGATAGTTGATTCGTACATGATAGCTGTCCGTACCACGTACCTTGTACAAAAACAGGAAAAACTAAACAAAATTCCTGTGTTAATTATACGTAATTAACTGTATGGTAATATAATTTATAAAATGAATGCCTTTCGTGAGTTGCTTAAATTCAGCAACATGAATTGTTGTGCAAAGGATTAAATACATCCATGGGAATGAACAAATAATGTTAATTCAATGTGAAAATCGTATATCAAATCAATTTTAATAAAGATATTAAAAGGTGTGAAAATTGGTGATCAATTCAGTAATACATACATTGCATGCTAATGAACATTTTAGTAATGCATCGACTACGAATATTTGTGAATTAAAATTTGATTTATACGCTGCAGCTGTGTAGATTTGTTATTCGCTAATGAGAGCAGGATTTATTGTTACCAGGTCACAGAAACATTTCCATTTAACAAATAATCTGTATACTGGAATTATATAGATGTTAATGATGAAGAATGGTAGAAAATAGCCCATTTAGCCCATTTTTGGGCTTAATAAAACAGGAAATTTATTTTGCATTCCAGAAAATTTAATATTTATAATTTTTTCCCAAAAATGCAGTTACATTCAATAGTTACGTTCTTAAAAAAAGAAATTAAATAAAGAATTGCATTTTTCCAAATTTATGTCTTGTATACAAAAATCTGATTGGTTTGCTAGTGTATACATAAAAAAATGTTAAATAAATAAAAAGATAAAAATCAAATGCAAAGAAATAGATGTACTAGAACGTTGTTAGCTACGGTGGGAGTGACATGTCACCGAAATGAAATATCAACATTTTATTTGAAATTTACGAATCTCACAGCTTGCATTCGAGAACGTTGAAAAGAAATAAAACAACGCGGATGCACAGCCGGATACAGGAAATCTGTTTGCTCAATAAATGACTGAAAGCGTGAAATCCTCGTATCTGGAATCGAAGCGGATAGCGCCTTATCTCGAAAGGCTCAGGTTTTCTCGACAGCTGTCGATCTTTTTTTCCGGCAGTCCTGATTCCTCTTCCTTCCCTGTCGACTTATCTCATCTCCCTTTTCGTTAACACGTTCACTGCCACCCGGAAAATGGACATTTCTTGTAAGACATATCAAACTATCAATAAAAAATAACACTATTGAAATTAAATTATTAGGAATTTTTAATTTCAATTACACGATTTGCTTTTCAATTACCCTCTTTTAATTATTCGAGTGCATTTAATTTGCAGTACCGATCATCGGTGACCCCCACGGTGTCGATTGTTTTTTTAGCAGTGGAATTAATTTCGATGGGTTTAAATTTTCTGTTTATTTGTTGTCAATATACATATTTATCGAAACAGAGTTGAATTATAAATGTGTATTTATTGTTACATGTTTTGCATAAAAGATTTATAATAAAATGAAGAGTAATATGCATGATCAGTTGTTAGGACTTTTCATCTGAAATAACTATTTTAAAAGTTATTTAATGAAAATATTTTTATGAATTTTTAAAAATGTGAAGTAGTTTTTGAGAATGTTAATTTGTTTTAGATGAAAGTTTTTGTCAGGAGAAAAAATGTATTATTTTACTATTGTATATAAATTTATATTCAAATAATGTTTCACAACAAATAAACAGTAAAATTATTAAAATAAACATACATGATTGAATACAACAATTCTTCATGGTATCAAATGTACTGATAAGCCTTGATAGCAATGACAAAGCATGCAATTAATTTTGTGTACGAAATAAACCGTAAACATTAATTACGGTGTATATACCACGGTATAATGGTATATTGCGAATTAAAGATTTTCGATCGTGTCAGGCATCGTAGAAAAATTTCTGACATCAGCGTAATCAAACGAAGCATAAATTCGGCGAATAATGAACCAAGATAACTTACCCGTACTCGATGTATCCGTATTATTTTCCAGAAAAATTATCATTTCCAAATATGACGCTTATCACTTTTTATGTCTCTAATTATTTTTAATTAGTACAAGTTTCTATTTAATTCCAATACAAATGTTTTCTGAATATAAAAAAGGAATGAATTACAGGTACAAAGATCGATCAAACATTTGCTAAAATATTAGGTGTACAAATTAATTCAGTACATTTAGTATCACGTTTTCTTAATTATTATTTTAAATTTAAATATTTTCCCGTGCTTCTTTGTATTTGAAAAGTGGCGCGAAAATATAATTGAATTTACCATGATTCTTCAAAAATAAATCTCTAAATCAAAAAAAGAAAAAGCACATAATTAATTTGTACACCTAATAAAAAAAAATCATGAGCGATCGAAGAAATAATCCAAGAAATTGCATCTTTGTACATCGGTTTATTATCATAGCGGTACTTTGACACTGGTTATTTTAAGAAAGATAATGTCTAGCCTCTTCGTTATTTCTTATCTGTTTTCTTTCACTCTTATCCTCGATTTTTCTTTTTTTTTTTTATCTGTTTGTTAAGGAGCCTGGCAACTGGCCAAGCCGCCAGAATTAAGTTCGGAAGCTACGTTTCTGTACACTCGGTGTAGCCGCTATTGAGAGCGGTTTCCACCTCGCGATCGTTTCTCTCTCATACGCTCTCTCGCGCTTCTATATCCTCACATACACGTACACACACACACATACCCATACACTCTCTCATTCTAACTTCTGGTACGTTTCTAATACTTTCTTCACACTCTGATTCGCTTATACCTTCGTGCATTCGCGCTTTCTTCTCTCACTCGATCTCAGCAACGCTCGATAAAAGTTCTTCCGGCCAGCAATCGCTCTCGCTTCCCGTCTTGCACTGTCATTCAAACGTACGATTCGCCGCCACGAATTTCGTGCCAAACACGTCCCCTCTGTTCCTCCGGTTTCTTCCATTTTCCGACCAGTCCTACTCCACGCCGCCCTTTCTCACCGTATGCATTTTCGTCGTACCTCGAGCCGCGCTTCCTGTCCAGCCACCGGAAGCGTCCTTGAACATACGACGAAAAAGTAGCCCAGTCCAGAAACGCGGCACGTTTACAATTATTATTGTCACTGTGTGCTATTTAACGTTCCGATCGCCTGAGATCAAATGCAGTCGCCAGAGACTGCCGATTTAATTATTGCCACCTGTACGCTTTACGTCTCTCCTCTCTTTCGAATATGTCTCGGATAAACGATCCTCGATTAATTAGTTCCCTCGATGAAACACACTTATTTTTTTTTTCTTCTTCTTCTTTACCATCCAACCAAGTTTTAGACGTGGTTAAAGTTTATCGCTCAGTCGAGATTTTCACAAGGAAAGACCAGACACTCCATGGGATTTCACCCAACACCTTGCTTCGCTCAAGTTTCTCGCGTGTCCGGTATTTCCCGACGGACAAAGTCGAGTCTGATGGTTATGCGGGAAACTACTTCAGCTTCTCCGTTCGGGGTTTGTACATTTTTTCTCAAGTTTGCCCGCGTTCGCCCCGGACAAATTCGTACAGCACCGTTGACGAACCTCACAGATAAGTCTGCAAAAGGACGTACCTTGGCGTTTTCACGCGACGAATAACTTTGGCGATTATTTTGATTCGTTGACCGTGAAATGATATCCCGGTACGTATCGCGAAGCTTACAAGAACGATACGCGGTTAAACTCGAAACACGACGATTCGATCGTTACCGCGATCGCTTTCGGGATGCAGCCTCTAGGATGCTACTTTGGCGTCTCCCTGAAGTATACGTCCGTTAGTCGCGGGCTGAACAGTCGTTGAGATAATACTGACAAAATTTCGGCACGTTTCCCGTGATCCTCCGCGTCGAACCGCTTATCTCTCTCGAACAATCGAGCGTATTCAGGCTGTGGTCACCAAAGTTCGGCGGTCGGAGTGAGCGTGTGCACTTCAATGTTCTCGTGACGATGATACTTATCCCTCCGGCGTACCGTGGCTCGTCGGGACAGCACTACAGTGAGGGCGGCCGCGGCACCGAATGCGGCGCCCACAAGCACCAACATCCCTGGATGAGCACCGGCGGATAAAGCCTCGGAGACTCGGGCGTCCGAATCGGTCGCGCGACTATTCAATTCCTCCGCTATCGTGTTCGAATCTCCAGCATTCCCTGATACCAACTTCTCCTCTTTTATCAGATCTTTCAGTCTGTTCGAGTATCTCTCGGTCGTCTTTTTCTCTTCCCTTCCCTCCCGCAGCGACGCGTGTTTCGACAGCTTCTTCATAGAAGCAATCTTACTCGTCGAAACAACGAGTTTGTTCCGTCTCTTCCCGTTCTCCGCGCGTTCAACATCCTCCACGCGATTATCAAAAGTTCGCGAATCCGAATCGTTCTTCGCCGTTAGGTTTTTCATCGAATGTTTAGTCTTCGTTGAAGCATCGTCAAGCGTCGTTGCTTTATTGCTGAAATTTCGTGCTTTCGGTTCCTCTGTCGCGGTCGTGAAGTTCCTGAACGAGGTTGGCGCCTCGTAGAGTCGAGTACCATCGTCGAGCAACGTGGAGATAGTTCTCTCTCTGATATTCAACGGATTGCCGGTGACATTACGGGAACTATCGATTTCACGGGCCGGGCCTGTAGACGCGGATTGCTTCGAAACGTTCGTGCTAATAGATTCATTAACGGTTCTGTCAGTTGTGTTCGATGCATTGATATCGGTGACGTTGGAAGACACGTTTGCTGTAATGGAATCGGATGAACGTTCCGTCGAAAATAGGGCAGACGGTGTTACCGAAACGGAAGATATCGGGGTTGGCAACGTTGTTGGAAGGGGACTCGGTGGTGACGGTAATTCCCGTAGAAACAAGCCTGACAGTTCCTGCGGACTAGCGCACTCGCCCGGTTCCGTGTCTTTATTCAGTCCCGAGTACTGTCGTAACCACTCGCCGAGCCAGTATAGATCCTCGCTGCAGTCCCACTCGTTTCCGCTCAGATCCAGGGTACGTAATTGTGGAAGCATGTAAGACAGATCGAATCTCAGACCGGTCAGGTTAGTCTTGGACAAGTTCAGTTCGATCAAGCTTTTGCAGGCGGACAGCGCGGCGTCGTCCGCTAAAAGCTGTCTGGCCAACACAGGACTTCTCGATACGTCCAGGTATATCAGCCTTTCCGGTGTAGGTACCGGAAACGCCATGTCGCTTTGTTCCTCTTGCTTTCGCTGAAGCGAGCTTAATCCCGACATACGAAGCTTGGCCAGGTTACTTGGTCCACTTAGAGTATTAGCTGGTAACGTTTTAATAGGATTATCGGACAGATCAAGCTGTTGGAGAACTGGTAATTGACCAAGAGCTCCTTCCTCGATTTCGGTGATATCGTTATCGTTTAACGTCAAGCATTTCAGATTGTACAGTCCTTGCAGATCGTCGATCTTCAACGATCTTATCGCGTTTCGATGGAGTTTCAAATTCGTTAGACTGTTCGGTAGACTGCCGGGTACCTTGATCAGAGCGTTACCAGAGATGTCCAATTCCTCGAGGACTTCTAAACGTCCAAGCGCGTCGTCCTCGATATCGATCAGTCGATTCTCCGAGATGTCCAACGTACGTAACAGAGGATAGCTGTCCAGGTCGCCACCGCGAATAGTGGTTAACTTATTCCCGGCAAGTCGAAGCGTTCGCACGGATCTCGTTAACGCGGCTGGCACTCTGGCCAAACCAGTGCGCGACGCGTCCACAGTTTCCAAACGTCTGCCAGTACCCAACAGCAACGAGACGTCTCTTTCTTTGAGAGGATTCTCCGACAGTTTTAGCACCGATAATCCCGGTAGCGGTTGCAAAGTTCCCGAAGCAGCTCGCGCTAAACCATTCCTCGAAACGTCGAGCTCCCTCAATCTGTCCAGGCTCTCGAACCAGCTGGCACCGAGAACTTGCAGTTGATTTCCACTCAGGTCCAACTTTTGCAACGAACAGAGCGGCGTCAACGCGCTGTCCGGCAGATCGGTCAACCGGTTGTCCGCCAGATCGAGAAACTCCAACCGATCCAAACCGCGAAACGCGTGCTCGTGCACAACCGTGATCGCGTTTCTACGTAAACTCAATTTCACCAATCCCGCAAGCGTCCTAAAAGCCCCGGCACTCAGCTCTGTCAGCGAGTTGTCGGACAGGTCGAACCGCGTCAGCTCGCTGGTATTCGTCGTCCGACCCGGGATCGCGTCGTTCAGTCGCGCCAGATTGTTGCATGACAGATTCAGTGCTGTTAAACGTTCGAAGCCGTGCCACGACGCGTTCAAGGATACTAGGGAACAGTTCGTCACCGACAACTGATCGAGATAGGGTAGGATGCTGATCGTGTTAGTTTCCGAACCGTTGTTCAACGTATCGTTCACATCGAACTCGTTCAACGTACCGATCACCTCGAAATCGTTCAGCGAGTCGGTCACTTCCAGTTCGTCGAACAAACCGATCACTTCGTACTCGTCCGCTCCGTCCACCGACAGGCTCTTCGTCGTAACCGGTAATTCCGCTAATCCGGGCGCACGTCCGCGGCACTTCACGTGTAGAAAAGCTGGCAGGTCCGGTTGCACGGCACTACGGTGACACACGCACAAATCCGGGCACGCGGAACCGCTCGCCATCAAGGCGAGCAGTATCAACGGAAGCCACATCGCTTCCACCGGCTAACGGAGTATTTCACATCTCGATCGTTGATACCGGTTGATCTCGTTCAGTTACCGGGTCCGGCTAACGGTCAAACGGTACTAGCGAGAGGCGAAAAAGCGTAATCACGTCCGGATAGATCATCGACGAGATATTCGACGCGCGACACGTTCTGGGATCAAGGGTGATAGATGCCGCCAAAACTTACGCGTATATACGAATGCCAGAGCGCGCGGCTCGACTATCAGCCGCGTTAGACGTGATGTCCATACGAAGGACTGACAAACACTGCGGCGCCCGACTCCTAGCTGCACCCGCCTCTCTCCTCTTTCTCCTCAGCCCCTGTCGACTCCTCTTACTCTCGCTTCAGCCCCCAAAGCCGGCCGTGTGCCGCCACCTACAACCCTCCACCCTTCTCCCATAGCTTCCTCTCTCTTACTCTCTCTCTTCGTCGTTACCACCGTCCCTTTCACCCTTCCGCCCACCATTCCTATGCACGGCTCGTAGATGTGTACCTCCACCATTGCCGGTCGCCGTCGCTTTTACTCTCGAACTCGATAAGGGGCGCGAGCGCGCTTGCGTCCTCTGATAGCGTACTGACGCGTACAGCCGGTATCCTGCCATTTCACCAACTACCACCGTTCACCGCTACCTGACTGCCTGTTTGCCTCGCTGACTGGGGCTGTCTCTCACGACTTTCTTAAACTTGATCCCCCCGCGTGCTGCCTTCCCCGAGGTGCGAACCAACTATTCGCGGCCTTCCCGGCATCCGTTCCTCTCGCAAACGAAAAGCTTCTTCCAACTCGGGTCCCGCGTATATTTCCCCGTCCGCTGGTGTATTCCCTTTGCGGGATCGTCCAGGCGAACCGCGGCCGATACGAAATAACGAGCGGAATTATCGTCGCACTTGTCGCTTGGCTGTACGCTCCTCGAACAGCCAGTCGGTAAATCGCGGACGAGTTACGTTTGACCGGCAAATGATGCGGGAATTATCGTTCTTTCGGTGGAAGAGGATAAAAGTATCGCGATGGTTTAGCCGGAAGTAACGAGCGCCCGGTGTATCGTTGATTCTGGTAAAAAGTTTGTTAGCGAGTTTCGCGAATTCGCCGCCATTGGCTTTCTTAAATTCGATTTGCGTGCTGGGATTACCGAGCAGCCGAGGTGCAATTCTCACGAAATAAGGCGAGAGGTCAGCTACTTTCTCGGCACGCACACCTCCTATCTCGTTAAGGCATTCTACTCCATACAATTGTTTTATGGCTACCTGCTACGCATCGAAAGAGATATTTTATCCTTGATTTTTATCGCATTTCTCTAATTACAAATAAAATGTACGATTTAGTGTTTATTTAGGAGTTTATTATTGTGTTTTATTTGAATTCATTTATCTTGATTTAAATTGTAAGCTTCTGCTCGAAGAATGAGCAGTATAATTAATTTGACTTTGGGCAAGTAGACGTATTCAGTGAGAATTCTATGTCGTTTGCGTAGTCAACATTCAAACTATTTAAGCCTTCCTCGTACGCCTAAGATGCCATTGTTTTGGGTTATGCTTGTATAATCCTACTTGGAAGCGAATAATTGAATAGAGTCCTCGGAACGAAAGGACAAGGAGATTTACCGCTAACTGATTTCACATTTCCTACTGTCTATATATGCGATCATCTTCATTACTCTATGGTACCTTCTTATTATCGAGTTTGATTAATAACAGGATCTCTGTGCATTTTAATATTCAAATATTATAAGAATCTTTTATTATTTGGTACATTTTATTCAAAGCGGTGTACTGGGAATTTTTAATTCTTTCTTACACTTAATTTAACCATGATTGTATTATTTTGAAGTTTAGTTCTAACTTTCGTGTAGAACCTGTTATTTAATTATTTAATTACTCAAGCACAGAAATTAATTTTCGAATACTTTCAACATAAGTTAGAAAGTGGGTATGTAGTTAGTTGCAATTTAAATTGAAAATTCACCTGTGATTATCCGAACATGGAATTAGGAAGCTTGAGCAAAATTTGCTACAAAACAAATTTCCAGTGGATGTAATCGTATTATTATACATTCGTTCTATTAATTTTAATTACACATTTTAGCAATGCTAAAATTAGGTGGCTTTTAAGCTTTATTGTCTAAATGTTTGATAAATTGTACACTGCTATTTTGAATTGAACTCGTCGTTAAATAACATGAATAACATAAATCAAAATATAGCTACAAAATTATAATTTATTTTATATTAAATTCGACGCGACCGTAGCTACAGTGAATAATGGCAGAAAAATATCCAGCTTCGAATCGACAGATTTACGGAAGTTATGCTACCCTAATGCCGAAGCGTGGAGTTTTTCTGATTAATGGTAAACGGTTGAAATAGTCCGTAACAAGGTTTCTAATAGGTCTGTTCTATATACTGGCGGACGTGTATTTTGTACATACGGATTATACGTGTGTCCGTCTATATCCCATACATGGTTGTAACACGTTGGCAAGCAGAATTTCGACTGCCATAAATTAGTTTCTCCGCGTCTCTAATCTCCTGGGAATTACTACACTACTTGCCGGACTTGCAGGACGATCGAACGTGATCTTGGAACAGCTCCAATACTCTCGATACTTCTGTTCAAACGATCGTTGATGAAGTTAACGTCGTTCGCGGTTAAATACTCGAGCCAGCAGTCTTAAAGAGTGGATTTCCTTCGGCTAAGGTTTCGTTAGCCGCCACTCTCAACGATGACTTCAACCTAGACATTGAAACGTTTTCGAGTTGAAACAGTTGGTGCATTTCGATTATGCGAAAGACCCATAAATAAAACGCTGATTTAAGGTAACCGCGAGATTTGGTTACGTTCGTCGACTTATTGCTTCGAAACTTTTAGCCAGTTTCGAAACGAGACCTTCCGCTTCCATCTATGTTCAATCTCCGATGGTATATCTTCGAACATCCGCGATTAATCTTTATTTATCGAACCGCCTGTTCGATCAATTTTCCGAGTTTCTCACTAGTGAGTAATATGTTCCTGGAACGTTTAGGAACTTAAATTTACGATTTCTGTTGTTTTAGTACCATTTCAGTAACATCATTCCGTCAGAGAGCCCGTTTCTGATCAGTTAACAGCAACTTCTATGCTTTTGGTTTTTTTAATGTGCAAATGGAAAAATTCTTTATGTTTAAAAATTCACAAAAAATATTAGAAGAATTAAAAAATCTATCAGCCATAAATGGCCACCTTATAATTAACAATAACTAAAGATTAAAAGATGTAATCTTTGTTTTCAATTTCTTCTTAATTGAAGTACTTTTAACTTTCTTTATTTCAACTGAGTTATACGTGAATTTTTAATAATCAAACAATTATTAATTAGTTTTTCTTCAACAGTCAATACTATCAAAAAGCCTATTAAATTTTTAATATAATACCTACGTAAGTACAAACGTACGTATATTGTACTCCATTATAGGCATACTATTAATAAATACGACATCGACAAATGGCGAACAAATGAGATTTTTGTTCATAAATAAACATTCATTTCTGAGCGTATTATAAGCTGAATGGCATTTAATGCTGAAATGAGGTACAGATTTCCCAAGTGCAGAATTATTGTATGTGTACAAAATGAGAACAACAGTGTTCCTCTATATTTCCTTTTTTTAAATTTTATTTTATAATACAAATTTATTACAAACATTCCTTGAAATAAGAAAGTTAATTAATAATAAAGCTTCAGGTTAAGATTGATAGCCAATCTTTGTTACTCTGTCATAGTGGAATAACTGAATCGAGGTTCGTTCAAGTGTTATCATCTGTTCGAAACAAACGATTCAGTCTCTTCAGACGAACTCAAACGTCGAGTTCAAACATATTGGTCCACTGAAGTGCTCTGTAAATTGACCCGAAAATCAAAACGTCACTTCCGAGTCAGCAGTTGCGAGCGATGATTTAATCGCTCGAAATGGTCGTACACCGGCATTTTTCATGCGAAATTTTTGCAATAATTTGAAACTCTTAATCATTTGACACGTTCGAAAACAATTAAAATAGATATTAAAATTTCTGAAATTTTCTTTAGCTTCACTATGATTCAGAAATTGATTCATGAGTTTTTTCGTAGTTCAAATAATGAGGATCTTAATTTTATAGTTTTCTTTATTCGCGTTTACCAAGCTGCAGATTTTTATGCATTACAAGTACATCAGAACATGCAAAAAATATGCAAATCATATGATATACATAAGAAAACGAAATAAATTACTCAGAACGTGTAAAATATGCAAAATATGTAAATTAAGATAATCTACTATACATTATATCGCATAGAGAGAGAAAATATTTTATAAAAGCATATATTTGCATAAACATCCTCGATTCGTTTCTTTCATTCCATTCAGTCGGTAATTTATAAACTGTAAACATTTGCACGCTGAAGATAAGAGTTTATAAAAGAAGCTTAATGTTAGGGCAGTAAGACGTTCAACCGTTTAATATTCTCAAGTACATATCCTTAAAAAAGCGCGACGTATATCTCCATAAACGACAGAAATTAATAATAATTTATGCAGCGCACGATGTTTGCTCTTCGCCGACCACACTGCCAATTATCCATGGCTAATCAAACAGGAAATCAACAGCATCGCTCCCAAAGCTCATTCAAACGACAAGTCATCACGCTTCGAATCTCAGGTCGGGACAACTCTGCGCGCAGCAGGGTCACCGGTGGTATATAAAATTAACAATTTCGTCCCAACGAACTCGGGAGTTTCGCGGTTCCGTTGTACCCTACACAGAGAGAGAGAGAGGAAAGGAATTAGGAAAACCGTTGAGGGAACGGGTTAGTTGGAGTTCCCGGGGCGACGAGGCAGCAGGAAAATGAACGGAGGGAAAGAGAGAAAAGGAGAAACGGATTTCGAGAATGCCGCTTGATAAGGGAAATCTTTCGAGCCTGCGGTACCGACCGACGTGTAATTTCGCCGAAATAGAGGACGGGAATCCTGGCGGGCACTGGCCGTGCCGGTTACAAAGTTACTTTTACGATAGCGCGGACCGAATGTAAATGGAAACGGCGTCGGAAAGACTAAGGGAGAAAACCGGCACGCTGGTAAGAGTGAGAGAGAGTGATCGGTATCGGGAAAAGGGCAAAACGAGAGAAAGAGTGAATGGAAAACGTGGCTGGAGGAGGGAAAGCGTGAAACAGGAACGAGAAGAATGGTGATAGGTAGAGGTAGACGGCGGCTGGGAAGGAAAAGGGGTAGAAGTAAAGGGGATGAGACTGTCGGAGTTTGTAATTGCAGCGGCTTTAACGCGCTGCTGATGGCCGATGGCACCCGGGACTGGGGTAATGGTCTGCACCAAATGTCTCTTCTTGCTGGAGAGCAGAGAGACGCCAGAGAAAGCTGAACACAGACGAGGAAAACTATATCCGAGAAGACATCGTCGCAAGTGAGGCACG